CGCAGTCAGTTGAGCGTCCAACTTCAGCCAGGTCACGATCTCGCGGTTCATGAGTTCGAGCCCCGCGTCGGGCTCTGGGCTGATGGCTCAGAGCCTGGAGCCTGTTTCCGATTCTGTGTCTCCCTCTCTCTCTGCCCCTCCCCCGTTCATGCTCTGTCTCTCTCTGTCCCAAAAATAAATAAAAACGTTGAAAAAAAAAATTAAAAAAAAAAAAACTATATATTCTAACATTTAGAATTGTGACTAAAATGTCTGATTAATATTAATTTCTGCTTAAAGTTGGCATTGTTGATGAAAAATCAGATACCTTTTTAGATAATTCTCCCTCTACCTTTTTTTTTGTAGCATTTCATTTTTTCTTTTTAAACTCAAAAATTTGACTAGGATAAGTTGTAAACATTGAGGTTTATATTCTCTTCTCACTAATCTTGCTTGGCTTTTGAGGAACTTTTGATTTTGAAAATTCAGGTCTTTAAAAAAAAAAAACCCAAAACTCAAGATTTTTTTCTTGTTTTCAAAATCATTATATCTCTGCTATCTGCTACTTTTTTCTCTCCTTCATGACAATATGCTCTTAGTTTTCTTTTTTTAGTATATCATCTCAGGTCTTGCTAAAATTGCCAATTACTACTTGATTCTTTCCCTCTAAGCCTTCTTTTTCCTGCAGTAGTGGCTTTCATGTAGTTACTATTTTTCATTGCCGAATGGGGGAATGAGGAAGGGTTTCTCAGTGCTCAGTTGTTTTCTCTTTGTTGAGCTGTTTCAGCTAGTGATGTTTCTGCCTACTCCCCTCCCCACCTTTTTTTTTTTTTTTTTTTTTTTTGAGAGAGAGAGAATCTTAAGCAGGCTCCACACTCAGTGCAGAGCTGACATGGGGCTTGATCCCACAACCCCAGGATGGTGACCTGAGCCGAAATCAAGAGTCGGATGCTCACCCAACTTAAGCACCCAGGTGTCCGGAGATGAATTCTTTAAGAATGAACCAATTTTTTTTTTCAGTTTTTTAGTTAAAAGGAGGTGAAAAGCTAATGTAATTTTTTCCTGACAGCTTAGAGATAATTTACTTATGTCGATAAAGGACAGAACTGTTAAACAGAGGAAGATTTATCTTTGTTCAGAAATAATTTTCTCTTTATATCTTTCTTAACAGCTGGTGCTAGCAACTCCCAGCTTGGCCGCTGGACCTAGCTCAAAACTCTGGATTCATTCTCTTCCTTCCCGTACCTCAGCCCGAGCTTTCTGTCTCCCCAAAGGGTACCACATGATCTTCCTCTCGAGTCCTCACTTCCTCGAATCCCAAGGTATGTAGGGAAGGAGTAGGCTGAATTATGTCCTTTACTTTCTTACGGCATAATAGATGCTTATTATATGTTAGTTAAATGCATGTCCCCTAGTGAAATTCTTCCTTGAGAGTGGTGCTTGGCAGTGAATTAGCATTTGTATTCACTCTCCTCTCTCTGGACTCTATCTTAGCAAACACGTTGCAGTATGTGTATGGAATCTTTTTCTAGTTTCTTGTCATTTTGTAGGTCTTTATTGTATTTTTTGGTTTGTGTTTCAGTGGGCAGTTGGAAGAAGGAAATCAAACAGCTTAAGTTGCCACCTTGATGCAGGAAACTCTCCAGGTTACTTGAAAGGGCCAGGCATACTTTATGCAAATAGTATCATTTCAAGGCTTGATGAGATGTTGGTTAAGTCTTATGAGGTAGTAATATGTAGAGAGAGGACAGTAGTTTCAATGGCAGATTTAAAATCAGTAATCTTTTTGGTAAGGTAAAGATTGAACTGTAGTGAAAAGAGCATTAGCTAGTAGGTTGGAAGATTATAATTCCTCATTCTTTTTTTTATGTTTTCTGATGTGTTCACAACACAATACATTTTTTTGCCCATAGGTGGTAACCATATTGTAATTTGTTACCAGGTGTTGTCTTTGATTGCTTCCGCATACTTAGGTTGAACATAGTTGAAGACAAATAGATTTTCCCCATTTCAAATTTGAGGGTGAAAAACCCCAAACTACCTAAAATACACAAACCCCCCCAATGCTGTATTGTACATGCCATACATTAAATATAAAAAAATATTGATACTCAGTATTGATTACTTAGCAGTTACTAAACTTAAGTAAAAGCTAAGTGGATTTCTTAATAAGGTGGTCCCTTTTATTAATTGTTTTGCCTATGAGGAAAGGACGTGCACTTTAATGGATGGAATTTGTGAACTCTGTTTTGGCTGCCATGTATCCCACTTAATTATTTTCTATTCTTTGTGTCCTGGAACGGTGAGGTTGCTGAAATGTCAACTCTGAACAAGCAATGTATTAATGTATATGTCCTGCCTCTTCCTTTAGACTGTAAGCTGCAGTAGGGTAGAGACCATGTTTTTGACTCTTTCCATAGCACCCAGCAAAATGCCTCACAATCACAGTTGTTATTTATTAGTAAGTTTTGGTTGGTTGACTTGTTTAAAATCCTATTTTTAAACTGGTTGCCAGACTCTGGAGTATGTGTTATGTTATAAGAAAAATTTTAAATTGTACAGATATTTTGAAATGGAATTGATGATATTTAGAAATCCTATCAATCTGTTTTCAGCATTACCTATATATTTTTGGACACATGTACTGTTACCACAAGAAACAATTTGCCTTTTATAATAAAACCCACGATATAGTCTCCTCTTGATTACATGTATAATAGAAAGGCTTGAGTATGGATGGTCCAGAGTGACTATAATATGATATTTAGGCAAATGGGGAAGAACCATTATAGGTGTTCTTAAAAGTTTCACATGTTTGAATCTCACCCTCAGATTCTGGTATGGGGAAAACTCCATAGGTGATTATGATGCTGGTCACTGTTGAGAATGTGACAGTCTGCAGGGAATCTTCTCAGTTGGTGTGGAGTATCTACCAGGTGTCGTGAACTTTCTTCCGACCATTTGTTAGTTTTTCTTACTTTCGAAGGAAAAGTTTTTACATTTAGCTTTAAATAATATAGTAAATTTTTAGTGAAAATTTTAATAATTTACTGAGTTAGACACAGTCTGTAAAAACATTTAGGAAACCAGTGTGTGCTTTGGCAGCACTTATACTAAAGTTGGAACAATACAGAGAAGATCAGCATGGCCGCTGCGCAAGGATGACTCGCAGATTCGTGAAGCGTTCCGTATTTTGTGCAGTTCCCGAGTGTCCTACCACCCACGGCAGATTAACTCTGAGGAAATGATATGAGTCAGAGGATGGTGTGTAGCACTGAATAGTGAAATTCTGATTTTTCACTATTAAAAAAAAATTCAGTAGACTGGTACCCTACTAATGAATTATCAGTTTAGTATTTATATATTTGAGACTACTAAAGAATGTGTTTTTTAGACCCAACCAAAATTACTAAGTGTGAGAAATATTAAGAGTCTTTTAATATGTAATGTGATGTAACTTTTATCTGTGGTTTCTTAATAAAGGACTTCTGAAATAGTAATGTTTCTTGTTACTTAGATTAATTGAAAACATTTTTAAAGTTTTTATTTATTTGATCTCTCTGCCCAATGTGAGGCTTGAACTCACAACTTCGAGATCAAGAGTTGCATGCTCTTCCAACTAAATCAGCCAGGTGCCCCTAGATTAATTGAAATTTAAAGCTGAGACCTTTGAATAGACATTATGGGTGAAGCTCAATGTGATTTACACTTTATTTTCTTTAGTTTATCTAGTTTTCTGTTACTCACAATATATATTTAAGATCACAAAAGTAAGAGAAGACAATTTTTCCAGTACACATTTTGCTATTCTGCTGAACCTTCAGTATTCAGATTTCAATCTCACCGATGTATTATCACATCTTACTATTTTACTATTTTTTATTCCTTTGCAGTTTGACTCATAATGTGTCATTCCATGGTCATCACAGTAGTGATAGCTACAATTTATATAGCACTTTACAGGATACCGTTACATATATTTTCTTATTTAATCTTTACAACACCCTGTGAAAGGGGAAGTGCTAATTTTTCTTTTTCACTTTATAGATGAAGAAACGAAGACAGAGATTGAGACTTGTCTAGAGTAACACAAACCAGTAAGTGTTGGAGTTAATGGAGGCAGGTAGTAATGGGTGCCTTCTCCTATGCCAGGGGCTTTTCTTGCTGCCATGTACCTGGGTTCTAGGGACAAAGAGCCAAGATGGTCAGGAACCAAAAAGGTAGTAGGTGGACTTAATCGTACCCCAGCAAAATGTGTTATTCCTTCTCATTTCTCTCTCTCTCTTTTTTTTTTTTTTTACACCATTTAGTAGTGATAACTTGAAAGAGCACATAATATCTTTTTGTTGTTGTTAGATAAGTGAAACTTATTTTAAACGTAAGTTATCCCTGAGGCACTAAGGAAGTAGAAAATCTGGAGGGAAGTCTGTTGAATTTCTCAGAGGGTAATAGCTATAGGGTCAGCTAAGGAAGGGAGAAAGTTACTAGTACATGTGTGTAATTGGAACTGAAATTTTTATGGCTCTCATTAAGATTTTTCAAATCCTGTTTAAAGATTGTAATATCAATTTCATATAGCAATCTTAGAGCTTAAGGGTGCTTATCCAGTTGTGGTTTTCTTTAGATGACAGAACCGAGGTGCAGAGAAGTCGAAGCCTGCCTGGTGTCCCAGAGAGTGGCTGCAGGTAGAGCTTGTAGCTGCTGACTTCCTGCTTAGCGCCATCTCTGCTTCCAACTCTTACCTCTTGGTAAGCTGTCCTCGAACTGCTCCACAATTTTTTTCCATCTCTTTTTATGTGTTTGATCGACATTGGCATTTTGTATCAAAATGAACTTTAAAATTAATGAAAATTACTGATGCTTACGTGATGAAAATTCAATTCTTTGTTTGATTTCAGGTGAGTTAATGTGGGAAAAATCCTCGTATTTTGAAGATGTCTTGCAACAGTATTGTTTCCTGTTTAAGTTACAAGTAACTTCAGTTTTTAGAGAAAAAAGAAATTGGGGTTTTTTGTTAAATCATGCCATCTGAACAGAAACAGTTATTTTTTGATGAAAAACAAACTATTTTAAAAAAAGATTATGATGTGAAAAATGAGATAGTTGATACTATTAGATCAGTGCTTAGGCCAAAAATTTCAGAAAGTCGTTTTCATTATGAACTAAAAAATGTGAAAATCGATTTGCCGAAGATAAATATTCCAAATGAAGTCTTTTTGAAACATGAAGTTGACAAATACAGAAAGTTATTTCAGCGTCAACCACAGACTGCAAGAAAATCTGTCAGTATAAAGACTGTAAGCTGTGTAGAGGAGTGTATGCTGCTCCAGAAGTCTGAGAGAGTTGAAGAAGAGGGTTTAAAAATGTCGGCAAAAATACTCAATTTCAACTGTTTAAAATGCCGAGATAGCACTCGATATAGCCCAAATGATTTACAGAAACACTTTCAGATGTGGCACCGTGGTGAATTACCTTCATATCCTTGTGAAATGTGCAGTTTTTCAGCAAATGACTTCCAGATATTTAAACAACACAGACGGACACACAGAAGCACTTTAGTAAAATGTGACATTTGTAACAATGAGAGTGTGTATACTTTATTAGACTTGACAAAGCATTTTACATCCACACATTGTGTAAATGGTAATTTTCAATGTGAAAAGTGCAAATTCTCCACCCAGGATGTTGGCACATTTGTTCAGCACATTCATAGACATAATGAAATCCATTATAAATGTGGTAAATGCCATCATATATGTTTTACCAAAGGAGAGCTTCAGAAGCACCTTCACATTCATTCTGGTACATTTCCCTTCACTTGTCAATATTGTAGCTATGGTGCCACTAAGCGAGAGCACCTCGTAAGACATGTTATAACTTTGCACAAAGAACACTTATATGCAAAAGAGAAACTGGAAAAAGACAAATATGAAAAAAGGATGACAAAGACTTCAGGACTTAAGCTGATACTGAAAAGATACAGAATAGATGCATCAAGGAAGACATTCTGGAAACGCAAGAAGATCAACAATGGAAGCGACCGAAGTATAGAAAAAAACACTCAAGTGCTAAAAAAACTGAACAAAACACAGGCTAAATCTGAAGACCAGAGCCATCTTGTTCAAGAACATTTAAATGAAGAAAAGGACGAAAGACCACACTGTGAGAATAACGATAAACCTGCTGAGTTAGGGTCAGAAAAGCCAACTCTTCTGTCCACTGGGCAATATAATAGAGCTGAAGAGGGATCACATTCGACTCTAGGTTTCTTGAAGACCGCTGTACAAGGACCTACAGTGTTGATGGTGAAAAATAATAGAATAACAATTCCTGCTAACTACAGTGCTGATTTTATGGGTTTTAAGATGGTGGATGGAAAACAACATATTGTAATAAAATTGTTGCCTACCAGTAAACAGAATTTATATTCACCAGGCTCACAGCCAGATGCTGCAAAGGATGGTACTGGCAATTTGCAGCCCCAGACACTGGACACTACTGGATTTTTAGCAGGAGTAACAACTGAGTTAAGTGACACCGTTTACATGAAAGCAACTACTCCATTTTCGTGCTCATCTCCTCTACTTTCAGGGAAAGTCCTATCAGAAAAAGAAATGGCTTTGCTATCTCAAACGGGTAATATGCTTCAAACAGTGGATGATGAAAAAAGTGTGTCGTCTTTGTCAGCATCAGGATTGGTTACAGCATCAGTGAATTTGGCCACAAAAGTTGAAACAAAAGATAATATTGACTTATGGGGAAGTTACATTCCTCAGAGTCACCCTGAGATACCAGGTGCTGCCATTAGAAGTCCAGATAAAGTCAACTCTGCTACCAAACAAAATGCATACAATAGCGGAGATATGCATAACTATTGCATTAATTATGTCAGCTCTGAGTTACCTGTTGAATCTTCCAACCACGGATCATTACCCTTTCATAATTACTCAAAAGTAAATAATTCTAATAAACGTCGTAGGTTTTCAGGAACAGCGGTGTCTGAAAAAGAACCCTCATCAAGCAAAACGGTTGTTCAACAACCAATAAGTGAATCGGTTTTATCTTTGGTGCGAAAGGAGAGCTCAAATCCAGATAGCATGTTAGCATCTCTTAGCCTGTTAAATACTAAAGATGGAACTTTAAAAATGCAAGCTGAAATTGAAGAACAATGTGTGTTAGAAAAAGGACAAAACATTGACGGACAGAACTTCTACACTAATGAAAATCAAAATTTAGAGAATATGACTGAAAAATCTAAGTGGGATGACATTTCTAATGTTGAGTCACCTATGATGCCTAGAATCACATCTGTTTTCTCTCTCCACAGCCAACAGGCATCAGAATTTTTGCCCCCTGAAGTAAACCAGTTACTTCAGGATGGGTTAAAAACAAAATCTGATGTAAAACAGGACTCTAGTAAGACTCCAGATAAAGGCCTGCCACTTCATTGTGACCAGTCATTTCAGAAACCTGAGGGAGAAGGCAAAATAGTTGAATCTTCAAAAGACTTCAAAGTACAAGGCGTCTTCCCAATTCCATCTGGTGGTATAGGGATTAATGTGCCTATAAATGATCTGAATTTAAAGTGTAGTGGAAAAGAAAAACAAAATCTGTCAATATCACAAGATGTGAGAGATTCAGAAAAGGCACCTAGAATTTCAGGTATTGGCACATTACTTAAGACTCAGTCAGATGCAATAATAACACAGCAGCTCGTGAAAGATAAACTGCGAGCCACTACACAAAATTTAGGTTCTTTATATAGGCAGAGTCCACTTCTAAATTCAGAACCAAAAAAAGCTATATTTGTTCAGACTCCAAAAGGCTTTTTTGTACCATTGCACATTGCTAACAAGCCTGGATTACATGTTGTTTCAGGAAGACCACTTCCATTGGTTAACACACAAGGTGTACCTGCTTCTCTTCTTTTAAACAAGAAACCCGGGATGATTTTAACATTTAATCATGGGAAACTTGAAGGTGTTTCCACTGTCAAAACTGAGAGTGCTCAAGCTTGTGGAACTACAGCTAAGGAGCCTTGCAGAACACCTTTTTTAAAGGTGGAACCAAACAGTAATTGTCTGACACCTGCACTATGTTCCAGCATTGGCAGTTGCTTGAGCATGAAAAGTAGTTCCGAAAATACTCTGCCGTTAAAAGGCCCGTACATTATTAAAACGTCAGCAAGTTCTTCAGTGAAAGCTGTTCCTACTCCTAATGTAGCTTCTGAGCACCAGGGCACCAAGTTGAATATTTTGGAATCAGTAAAACAGCAGAACGAGATTTTTCCCAAACCACCTCTTTATACCCTGTTGCCTGATGGCAAACAAGCTGTTTTTTTAAAGTGTGTGATGCCAAATAAGACTGAGCTGCTTAAGCCTAAATTAGTCCAAAATAGTACGTATTATCAAAACATACAGCCAAAGAAACCTGAAGGAACACCACAAAAAATATTGCTGAAAATTTTTAACCCTGTTTTAAATGTGACTGCTGCTAACAATCTGTCTGTAAACAACTCTGCATCCTCATTGCAGAAAGACAAAGTACCATCTAATCAGACTACAGGAGGAGAGCAGAGAGAGCCAGAATCTTCTAGAGATGCCTTACCCTTCTTACTAGATGATATGATGCCAGCAAATGAAATTGTGATAACTTCTACTGCGACATGCCCAGAATCTTCTGAAGAACCAGTGTGTTTCACTGACCGTTCAGATACCAGAGTGTTAAGGTGTAAAACAAATTGTACAATTGAGAGAAGCTTCGATAGAAAAAAGACTTCCAAAAAAAATTTTCCAAGAATAAAAACTCATGTAAGAAGTAAAGATTCTGAAACTGCCTTTGTACCTAGAAACAGGAACTGTAAACGAAAGTGTAGGGATAGTTACCAAGAACCTCCAAGAAAAAAGGCAACATTACATAGAAAGTGTAAAGAAAAGGCAAAACCTGAAGCTGTCCGTGAATCGTTTGGATTTAGCAGACCGAGGCTTTCAAAAGATGCAGTCAGAACTTTGCGGCTTTTCCCATTTAGTTCCACACAGCTTGTGAAATGTCCTAGGAGAAACCAGCCAGTTGTAGTTTTGAATCATCCTGATGCAGATGCCCCAGAAGTAGTAAGTGTAATGAAAACTATTGCTAAATTTAATGGACGTGTACTTAAGGTTTCATTGTCAAAAAGAACTATCGATGCTTTACTGAAACCGGTTTGTGGTAATGCTTCACAAACAATTTATGATGATTTTTCCAAGAGGCATAAAACATTTAAACCTGTTAGTTCTGTGAAAGAAAGATTTGTGCTAAAATTAACACTCAAAAAGATGAGCAAAAACAATTATCAGATCGTGAAAACTACCTCTGAAAATGTTCCAAAAGCTAAATTTAACTGTTGGTTTTGTGGTAGAGTATTTGACAATCAGGATGCTTGGGCTGGTCATGGGCAGAGACATTTAATGGAAGCTACTCGTGATTGGAATATATTAGAATAATTTACTGTAGTTACCAAGGAACAGAGAAGTAAAAGGGTCTTAGAAGAAAACAGTGGGTTGAATTACCTTAAGGTAATTGTCTACTTCAGTATATACCTAAAATTGAACATCGGAAAGTAGGCTGTATTTCCATGGGAGACTAGAAAAGTTTTATGTGTGATAGTTGCAAATGCTGTCACTGCACACATAAGTTTTGAAAGAAACTAATCACAGCACAGATGTACCTTGATTTAGTTTTTTTTAAGTGTGTTGTTGGGAAGTTAGGGCTAAAGAAAATTTTGATAAAAGTTTTCCCAGTTTAGTTATTTAGGGACTCTTAGTAGAGGGTAACGGCTGACAACTGCATTCCCTCTCTTCTTCCACCAGCCTTAGGAATCTGATAAGTGTAGCTCCTCTGAAGATGGAGAGAGCTCTTTCACCATGGAGCTGAAGGAGTTCCTCATCATTTGTGAAGATACACTAAGAGAGCTTGAGTAAAGAATTTAACTTTACATCTGCTCGATAGAGCTGTTTTGAAGGGTATTAGGTTCCTTAGAGTAACTAAGTACAGTTATACCTCTTGATGCTTGAAGAGAGTTTTTGACAAGTACATCTTTTTTTCTCTTACGCTGTGTCCCACATCAAGGATTGGAATACCCTCCCAAGGTGATTTTCTTTTTCTAAATGGCTGTGTCAAGCACTGTAGTAGATGAGAAGCCTCAAAAGAAGAATTAAACTCTCTGGGTCTAGTTTGAAGTCTAGTGAAGGAACTTGAACATTTTTCTGAATTTGATGATAATCTCCAGTGATTCTCTTGCACAGAACTATGCTTACTTGATTTAAATTGTTTGTCCCTCTTAAACCAAATGGCCCATTTTTGACTTGGTTGCCATGCATTTAAAAAGTGGACCGTAGACGCACTTCCAAGGAATGGCTTTTCTTGAAAATAAAAAATTATTCTCCAGAAACCATATTTTGAAACAAGATTAGCAAAGCAAATCAGATTTTTGCTGTTTAATTACTGTTAGGTGTCTAAACATGTACTCTCTGGGACAAACCATTTTTGTTAGCACCTTTTCAGTATGATTGACAGCCCAAAGCAGATTCTTTACTGCTTGTTGGCAGTTGAAATAAAGAAGCATTAATAGTGGATTCAGTGACAGTGCATAAAATTTCAGGACAGATTCCTAGGGGACATACCCAGCAGGTAGGGTTTTAAAATGGATATTTTCATGACAACGACAGAATCATTGACTGAAACTTCACCGTGTAAGTTTGGATCAAATTTTGTTGGATCATTGGATAACGGAGTCCTTGTATTACAAATTACTGTATAATTTTTGTTATATTGTTACTACAAGTGTTACAACATTTTCATTGACTGAAAACTTCAGGGCTTCTTTTCTGTATATAAGAAAGAATTTAAACCTGTACATATTTTTGTACCTTTCAGTTTGTTATGTAAATTTTGCACAGAAAATTTTTGACATAAAAAGTTTATTTTCCTTCAGTTTAGTTCTGTGCATGCACTAATAAAACTGGTTGTTTAATTTAAAAGGAATATGTAAGACTTTACCCATGTCCTTTTCTTGGTTTTTATTTTAGATGTAGAATTTTTTTTTTTTTTGGGTAAATTCATTTTTCAGGGATTGAACACTATTGTTAGCAAGTGCCTAAAAGATGTGAAACAGTTTACATATGTCAACTGTAACAGTAGGTCCCAAATGGGCCCATTCCCCCAAAAGTTTTATTTTAAAGAAAGCCATACATAGATGCTTCAAGCTATCTTGCTATGCACATTATACATGTACTTTTTTTGTGCAGTTTGTCTACTTTCCTAGTGAAGTATTTTTTGTATAAAACCTGTTATAATTGTGTTTCTTAAATTGAGCCTAAGAATGGAGTTGATTGGAAATATACAGTATATATTAATAACGTATATGGTGTTTAAAGAATGATAAGCATTGTTAATTTCTGTAATGAAAATTTTCTTCAATTAAATTTATCTTAAGTTTGTGTTTACACAGTAATTTTTTTTACTGTACTGAAGTCAAATGGGAATTTTACTCTAAAGGGAAATACTTCTATTTCAAAAAAGTTTGTTTCCTTTTATGCTAGGGAACTGTGTCAAATGAAGTGTGGATTTGCCCCCCCAAAATCATAGATGAAACTTTGTTTGAGAACAAACACTTAACACCATAAAGTTACTATAGTTATGCTGATGAGGAAAATCATAGAGAGGCTTATGCTCTTTAGTACCCTAACAGCAATAGAATTGAAATGCTCTGCTGTTCTGGGTAGATGTATTATAACTCATTGCCTTCCATGAATAGAGAAGAGAGAGCAGCAACTATCATGCCAACGTTTGCAGGATTATAAAAACACATTTCAGAATAGCCATGCCGGTAAAAATCTAATGTTGTGATGCATACTTTTTGCCTTAAAGTTTTAAAAGCCATTTTAAAAAGCTTCATGCCCCAGATACTCTAGTTAGCCCCTTTTCTGATTTGTTAGGTTATTCTGAAGAAGGCAAATTTCCTTGGAACCTCTCTCTTGTGGAGTGGAAAATCCAAAATCAAAACCCACCATCCTTTCTTTTCTCCTAGCTGAAACTGAACTAAAGATTGTTCTCGAAAATAGGAATAGCTACTAATTTGAGGTTGTGACTACACTGGAAGGGTTTTATTTTTGCAATCCAACTTCTTGGTCAGGAATTTGTTTCATTTTTCCCTAGTTGTCCATCTCCAAGGAAATGGACCTATTTGCATTCAATTGAAAAAATAGTTTAACTTTCAAAGAGTTTACCTTTCATCTTACTAAGCACTCAGTGTATTGAAATGTGATATATATATGTGATATATATATGTATATACCTATATATAAATGTGATATAAATACATATATATATATATATATACACACACACACACATACATATTTTTTTTTAATGAAAAATTGTGGTTTTGTTAAGGGGTCAGCAAAGTTTATCAGTAAAGGGTAAGTTAAGCTAGTAAATAATTTAGGCTTTGTAGGCCATTTAGTCTCTGTCATAACTTCCTAAATGAGCCATGAGCTGAATTTGGCCTACCAAACCGTTCACTAACCCTTGTTTTAGTTCTCTCAAAGGTCTGCCCTTAGAGTGGGATTTTTAAAGTTAGTAACAAATTTGGTGCAGTTTTTTTGTGATGTACACCAGCTGTATAAAAGTTACAAAGTATAAAAACTATGCATATAAAGTTACCAACATAGATGTGTTTAAAAGTGAAGGGAATGTAAATAATGAAAAGGATTAGTGGTTGAAATGGATGGGCCATCTGTGTGCAAAGGGTCATGTAACTTATGGAGCGTTTAAAAATGAGATCAAACAGTTGTGAGAATTTATGTTCAGGTTAGGTGAGAAATACTAGTTCTTTAAGTGATTTGAAATAGCTGTTAAGAAAAGTAATGAGTTCTTGGGTGGGGGGAGAATGGAGGTGAGGTGAAAACAATATTAATTCCATATAGCTAATTTACTGATCTTTTTTCCATTGTCCCCCTACCCCCCCCCCCCCCCCCCCCCCCCATTGACATCTGCTTTTTTAGCTTGGGATATGAGCCATTTCTGTTGGGGTATTGGCTCTGTTCCTTACTTCAGCAATTTCCTAGCATTCTTATTTTCAGCAAAGTGCCTTGACTCCATTCGGGATCTTATCTGGTTGAAACTTGCTGGGGGAATTTTCAGGGCATTATTTGTTGTTAGTTAAGAATGTAGAAAGAATTAGCTAGTTCTGCTAATTAGCTAGTTAAGAATTAGCAGAAAAATTTCCCTATAATGCAGAGTTGAAATAGGATCAGCATGGTTGACTTTAGTGTTCATTGGTTTAAGTATGTTCTTAATTGTACAGTTGAGAAGTAGCCAATATCTTGGAAGAGGTGTTTGACCAAGTCTTCTTTGAAATATTTGTTTTTAGTTCCGTCTTTTGAGCTGCTGTTAGTAAGTGCCCCCAACGTAACAATCTTCTTTCTTTGAAAAGTACATATCATTATTGTGACATTGTAAACGTTTGAGTAAATAGTGTAGGAAGAATGTTAATATGTACATCAATTTCAAATATCATGATTTTTAGTCAATGCCAAGAATGTACTTAACATAAAAACGCTCATTCCTAGTAAAGTCATTTTTGCTTTTTTAGAATTCTTCCTTAATACTTCAGAGTCCTTTAACCAAAAGTGAAGGTAATGTTCAGTTTGTGACTGAAACTGCTTCTTTCAGTTAAGGTGCCTGTTATCATCAATTACTTCATAAGTTATTGCTAATGTAAAAAGACAGGAAAGCAAAATGAAGAACTTGGAGACCAAAATACTATTTACAAATAACTTCATTTCAATATTTTGAAAATCCAAAGGAGTACACTGAAAATTAGCTTTTCTGAACACTTAATAGTAATCAATTGTGAAAAAATAAAAGAAGACCCATTTATAGTAAGAGCCACAAAATAATAAATTTAAAAGTTGTGTGAAGCTGCCTAAGGAAAATCCACAAAACCTAACTGGGAGATACACAGTGTCTCTGGGTATAAGATGAAATATACCGCTGTTTGGTAGATCCCATTTTCCACACAGGTGTCCCACAGAAGGCTCATATCAAGTGGGAGGTGGCAGTTGGTGGGGCCAACTGTACCACCCTCAAATCCTGCAGCGTAAGGAGAATCAGGGCAGGAGCCGCTCTTAGGTGCAAGTCCCCCTTTCGCACACAGCTGTGTTGCAAGAGATCTGCTCTGGTGGGCTGGGCATCTAAACGGCAGCTTCTATCTCTTCTAGCTTTCTGGGGGGCAGAAGAGCTATTCTGTGCACACTCAGCCCCTGATGAACATTAGCCGATTCCATCCTCCCTGGTTCTGGGCTATAGAAGGTCCATACTGAGAGGTGATAGACGATTGTCACCCATGTCCTTCTCTAGCTCCTGGCACAGCTACTTTGCAGGGAAGAACTAGGAGACGTTGAACAAAGGCAGTTTCTCATACTCTGCCCCACCCCCACCC